GCAACAAACAAAGCAATTGAAGCAGCATCGAATTCTCTTCCCCAGAGATTCCGTTTCCCTTTCCCCATATATGCAATTCTTCATATCTTGGGGAAGGTCCCGTGTACAAATGAAAATCCACGATTATCACAATTTTCCAATTCCTTAGATTCAACTCAATTATATCGTGTATTCTTTACAGTTAAACCTCGGGCATTTCTCCCATAACAGTTAAAAGACCGACTGAAAAGGATCCCAACTCAAAAACAACAGAAACCAATCCTTTCAGGAGCATTAAGTCATCGTCTCAACTCTGTCAGGATGATCGACAAGCTTATCTATATCATTAAGGACCATATCAATTGTGCCGTAAGCAATCACCAGCAAACAAAGTCAATCCAAACAGCAATTTTCAGTATTCTCTGCTTCCAGCAAAGAGACAATAGCATGGCCAAACCCCGTTCTCTAATTACAGAATCAAAAGCCCTAGTTACAACCCAGGTATTGGTGGTATTCTAGACCAAGTAGCAAGGAAAAGTGTAACAGACCCATATTTTTAACCCAAAAAACATATCTAAGAAATGGAAGAAAACCTATTTTTATATACTTAATACCCATTTTATCTTTTACATGTGAGATCCGTGACATTCTATCCCACCCAATTGTGCAACACCCTTTGTAGAGACTCTTACATTAATCCAAATCTACCTAGATCTTTGTATCCCTTATAGAAACCCCAGTCCTCTATTGAGGAGAAGGACTCTTACATTACTCCGAATCTACCTCGACCTTTGTATCTCTTATGGAAACCCCATCAATGAAGATTTGAATTGCTCTAATCCTAGAAATCTAAGAAATCAATCAGATACAAGGAAATCAAACAACATACTCTGTGCACCTCTAAATTTTTAATGGTTCTGGTTTAGGGCCTCAAGGTTAAACATATCCATCGAGTCCCATCTCTTCAAAGTCTCGGTTCTAAATTGTCTATCATATGATCCTTGTCTAAAGTTGGTTGGATAATTAGACAAGCTATTGATAAAGAGAAAGGGATTTAGCTACCACAATCTTCCCTATGATCCTGTTTTTTTTCTTCTGAGAAAACAGTGACTATAACAACATGACTTCTCCAATTTAACAAAAAAAAACATTCAGAAATTAATTATAAATACAAATTGTTAGAAACAGAAAAGTATGCACCTCTAAATAACAACATTAATCTCTGTAAATTCTGAATGGAAACTCTTGTCAAGCTAAAATGCTGGAAAAATCATCATCCCTACCTGCCACCTAAAATCAGCCCAACAAGAAGATAAAGTTGACATCACCAGCAAAGCAGTACTAAGCAGTCCTTTCCCAGCAATCTTTACAACTCAATAAAAATAAGATACTGAGGATCATAGAATTCCTAATTTGAAGGAGATAATTGCTTCAATTTTGCTTGTAAAATTACACCAGCTTCATCTGCTAGAGTTTTCTTCTTAGATGCAACCTACATGGTCGATTAAACAGTTCCATTACCAAAAAAAAGGAAACGAGAATTAATCATTAGCAATTAACAAATATCCAAAAAAAAAAAACAATGTTACAATAGTAAGAACAAAGGCAACCTAATCTTGTATACTAAAAGATGAGCACCAGGTTAAAAAATCAAATAGATGGCTGAGCAAAGAGAAAAGGAAATTCATCCCAGCCAGGCCAATTAAGCTTGTGTTCATTAATTATTACCATATATGCTTTACCCCAAGAAAACAGCATAAGTGTCATCCCGCAACGAGAAATTATAAACACATATCCAGGCACATGTATGTCATGGGACTAATCAGGAGAGAGAGTAACCCTTCCTTTCCCAAAGTCAGGTTTCCCATCTAACCTTACAAATTCCACGTGCTCTTAAAGAAATCAAATCTAAGGAACAAGTGCCCATCAGCTTAAACCATTAAAATCAATAAGACTCTTACAGTTTTATACTTCCCCACAAAAGAAAATGGGTTAAAGGGCAATCAAAATCCCTTTTCTTTTTTAGTATGATAAGGATACCTCAACAAGTTGATCGAAATTGGACTTCAGTAAGTTGATCTTACGCTCGCAATAATCTTTTCCTTCAGCCATCGTTTTCTGGCAAACAATTGCAACATAACAGTGAATGAAAAAATTAGATCATAGTACAGCAAGCTCAAGCATTGAAAGCAGCAAATTCAGGGACAAATTCGTCAAATCAAGAAAAAATAGAGACCTCAACGAAGTATCCGGTGCCAATATCAACGAGAACTTTGTCGGCATCGTCGAGGGTCCCGGGAACATAGAGCGACGCAGTGAGAGGAACCAACATTTTCTTCCCTATTTTTTGAGAAAAAATTTATTATATTATATTATATAAAAGGAAAAAATGTTGAAAGACTTGAGTGACCTTGGCGGAGGAAAGTCGTGGAGGAGTGGAGCAATCTCAAGCGAGCAGTGGCGGTGCGGATGTTGTTAAGGCTGTCTTGTAACAGATTGACATCAACATCTGCTTGTTCTTTCACTGCTTTGAGCTGCTCCAAGCTCATCTTCTCCATGTCCCCCATTCTCATCACCTGCTGACCTCCTCCTCTTGACGACGCCATTCTTTTGCTTCTTTTCTGCCGATCTCCCCCTCTCTCTCCCTCTCTCTCTCCTATAATAAAACGCCCTTTTTTCGTCCATATGGAATTCCCCGAGTTATATCCCAACAGTTGGCTCGCATCGGGAGCCCCTATAGCTCAGTGGTAGAGCGTCAGTCTTGTAAACTGAAGGTCTGTAGTTCGATCCTGCATGGGGCAATGTGTTTTTATTGTATTACAATGGCATACCATACCATAGAAACAAGCAGTAGCTTTCCGTTATCGTTAAGGCCACTCAGTTAGGCCTCCTCTTAACTGTTGATGGCCCCTAAACTCCTAAACATTAATTCAATACATATGACAAATCCCCCATTGCATGTGCTCCATTTCAATTTTGCTAATATGAGCCCACGAATGTGTAGGTGCCCCAACTACTATGCCCAAGCCCATGAATGAGAGGAAAATGGCGGTAGACGGAAATTTAGCTGTCTCAAATCCAAAATGCAATTAAGATTGGATTCCAATCATAACAAGACTATCCCAACTTTTTCAACAAGGCATTTAATCCCAAGACCCCATCAATTATGTGGTCCTGACTCTTTTGTTCTGCAATAATTAATAGGGAACAAGGTACAAATATTTTGTTGAAATGATGAATGGTTTTTCTACTCGTTTATGTCTCACTAATTGTGTTTTTTCCTCTTTCGGCCAAGACTCGAGAAACCCTTTCACCTGCATCTCCACGCCATATCCAACTTTCTTTTCCTGAAAACTGCAAATTCCTTACCGTCTACCTTAGTAAACACAAGCGGCCACCATCTTCCAAGCTCTTTTGACAAGTAGTCTATTCAAATCATTAGATGGCCATTCTCGGAAACTGAAAACTCTGCAATTGCCTCAATGAGAAGCTTGTTGCAGCAGTTGATGCTCATATGTAGCAGCATTACTGCTAATTAATTGACATGCCAAATTGTGCAATTACCCAAACATTTACCCATAAGGAATTTCTTTCCTGCTGTATGTGTTTGTTACCGCCCTCAAGGCACCAAGAAGAAGAGGAATCATGAAAATTATTCAAGCATATGGCAATGCAGGTTCGTCATTCCCAGAAATTCAGTATGTTTGCACCGAGCAGCAATAAATAGCGCGGGAAAGTCATTAAAATCCAAGTCAAACAAGAAATATAATGCACTAGTTAGTGCCAAATAGTTCCCAAGGACAAAATCTAGAATTATAGCTAGTTTAAAGTTGTATTCTTTCTATCATCATAATCAAATAAACCAATTCTAGTTTCTAATAATGTTCCAAAATTTGTAATGATTGCATTGACGAAGTTTCGACACCCTGTAGATATTACACAGTGATCAAACTTCTAGTAATAATTTTGTTAGTTACAGCCAGCAGAAAAAGATTGGCATAAAAACAGTCATATGCCAATTATTATACCTCTGACCCAAACTAGTAAATCACAGATAGGACATTCACCATTGAACAAACATGAGTGAGACAAGTTATGAAAACATATAAATCAAACACAACTCAAATATTGCATTGCAGAAATGAAGTAGTTAGTAGCAGAACTAAGCATTATCACATAGAGAATGATGGTCATGGCACACAAAGGAAAGATTGAGCAACAGAGAGTAAAATTGAGAAAAAACAGATGGGCTTTTTATTCACACAACAGGCACCCAAAACAATCCACTTAAATACATGAAGGACACATTATTTGCACGCTTATAAATCTAAAAAAATGGCTAAGAATACAGCTAAATTTTTCCAAAACAGAGGCCTTACAGAAAAGGAACCGAGCCTCTATCTTTCACACAGCAGTCTCCTTTGAGATCATGTGGTCAACATAGACACTGAAAGCAGAAGAGAGAGGATCAGATCTACCACGTCCATGGCATATCATGAGCTACGCATTAAGAACCAGTATAAGCTTTCCTGCTCTGCTAAGCTTTACAGTAGCGGCAAAGAAACTAATGATTCTCAAACACCATTAGCAATAAAGGGAATTCCAACATATTTAGGGAGACCATACACCACTGTATCAAGCCAAGCATAGTATTATCCAGAGGAAATTCCCCAGCTTTCAGCATCCTGGTCAACCCAATTTTCAAACCCAATTATCCTGTAAATCGATCACAATCCACAACCAAGATTCAACCCACTTTGCACGTTCACCATTGCTATATCATGACCTATGGAAGAACTCGCCAATGCATAAAAGCAATGAATTCTTCAAATCCATTTACAACCTTTTTCAACATGGGAAATGAACCTCCACGGTTTCTTCAAATCAGAAAAAATCAGCAACTCCTTGCACAAAATCAAAGACACTAGCATTCCATTTTCTCAAAAAAAAAATCAATAAGCAAACTTGACTAATCACAAAAGAAATCCCCAATTCTGGAAATCCCAAATTCACGCTGCGGCCAGTCGCAAAATCTCAGTCACCAAAGCCCTAATTCTTGACTCCCCTCTCCTCCTCCAACATAAACCCTCAAAATCCTAAATAATTGTGAACGCTCTAAAACCCTAATTAATCATCAAATAAAAGTGCTACAGAAAAAAAAACCCCTAATTTGAATCCATTCATCATCCATACTCCAAACTCCCAAATTGTCCCCCTTCAAAACCCTACTTCCCTAACCCTAAAATTCCAACTAAAAATCCTCTTCCACATCCACACACACAAAAACAACAACCATACACAAATATTTATAGAATCTATATATTCATATAAATATATATACTCCCAACAATAACAAAAGTAAAACGGTCCACCCAATTCAACGCGGATCCTCGTCTCTCCTACCCGAACCCCCCGGAGCACCCGACAACGAAGCCAACAAATTCAGGTGACCAGGAAGATAATTCCCAACCCTCCCGCCGACGCTTCTCCCATCGCTTGCTGTTGCTGAACGAACAACGCAGCGGCAGCGGTTGTTGCCGCCGCTGCCGCAGCAGCAGCAGCAGCCGTCTGCACCACCATCTCCGGTGGAGGCGGGGGCGCGAAACTCCATACTTGACCAAAGTCGGCCTGCAGGAACAGCCCAGAACCCACCCGTGGGTGTACCCGCGGGTCCCACAATGGACCCCACGCCTGGTCCAGCGTGACCCCTCCGGAATCGTCCTTTCCGGCGTTATCATCGTCGGCCCTTACGCGTTTCCCTAGTATAAAAGGGGTGGGACCCAGTAGAGGCTTATGATCCAAAGACGAAGAAGAAGTCGTTGACGATAAAGAAGTTGAATTAGCTCCGCCGCGGACGGAGACAGACACGGTCGAGAAGCTAGCGGGAGTTGTCCCCGTCCCGGTGGCGGCTATGATGGAAGGCTCAGCTTGGCGTAACAGCCATTCAATAGTCTGACCATCGGATTGTGACCCAACTCACGAGTCAACTGGAAAACACGAGCCGCACAAATGATAGGCATCCTGATTCTCGGCCACGACCATCGACTTTGCGTGTGACGATCTTTGGAAGGAGGTTTTTTGACGACAAGGAACCGTTTCCTGGCGCTTGTTGTCTCTGAGGGTCCATTATGCTCCGTTTGTAGCACCACCCTCTGAATTTGACATGGGGTAGGGAAAATAAAAATACCAATACAACACTCTTACTGAAACCTCTCTTCCCTTTCGTTAGCTTTTCTTTTTTGGCGCTTCAAACCAAAAAAGATTGTCTCTGCTGTTTCGGGTTATTGGAGATTAACAAGCAGAAGGGAAAAAATGGAAGAAATGTGAAAGAGGAAGAAATATATATTTTTACACAGAGGGAGGAGAAGAGTGAAAGGCGGGGGGGGGGGTGGGGGTGGAGAGGGAGATGTAATCATTGAGCGCAGGAGCTGGTGGAGACAGGAAGGAGGGCACATGGGTGGTGGCCCCACGGACACATCCCCACAGCTCACGCCCCCGCTTTTGAACCCCTCCTTTCTCCCATTTTCTGTGTGTCCATCCCCACGCGCCTCCCCTCCATCCCAAGAGGAATTTAAGTGGGGGTAGTCAGGGAAGAGGGGCCGCTTTCTTTTCGCTTAGTATATGAAGGTTCCAGCTCGTGCAGTAAGTTGATTATCCATTTATCTTTAGCCACGTCATTGATTAACGGTGATTGTAATCGTCCCTTAGATTTATATGGTTCTTTGCCATTGAATCTAACCCAACGTTTTTCTTTCTTTTTTTTTTTTCTTACTTCATTTGATTCTAACACAAAGTTTCAATATCGCTACTTCGCAATAATACAAACAATTACTCACAGTTGAACTAATTAAAGTTTTACTTAATAGTACTATTTTCCTTTCTTCTTTTTTTGTTTATTTTGGGTGCAATATTTCTACTCAAGCAGGAGGGGCGAAGGGTAATGTATGACCAGCTAAAATTTTTTAAATTTTTTACTATATATATATATTTTAAAGGTCTCTTTAAAATTTTTAAAAGCTTTTATTTATTATATATATTTTTTAATGATCTCTTTCAAAATTTATGAAATTATTTATTTATAATATATTTTTAATGATTCTCTCAAAATAATATTTTATTTTAATATTAATATAAATAAATAATAATAAAATAACCTTATAAATCTTACTTAACTTTATCCTAATTTAAGTTTTTTTACACCTTTTTCTCCCTCTTTCTTTTTCTCTTTTGTTTTATTTTTTTTAGTCTTTTTTCTATAACTCACCATTAAAATACATTTTATTTCTCAAAAGATATTTATGAACTTCTGAGCTTGGATAAGGAATAACAAAGACCACTCAACATCATTGTATGAAATTAACAGAATGTGAAGTTTTTGTTTATTTTTTTCTTTCTATTTATATTATTTAACTATTTATATATTTAATCATTATATAAAATCATGTATATTGTATTTAACTATTTATATTTTATATATTATTATTTTATATTTAATATTTTAAATTTAAATAGAAATAAAATAAGAATATTAGATGTTGGTTACACATTGATTAGAATTTGATCTTAGGTTTTTTTATGTTAGTGGTGTGATGTGCTTGCCCTTCTCTTTGTTGTTGGGCATTTTTGTTCCCTTTGACTAGCCATTATAAATTTTCGAGTGGTTTAGGAGTTTTTGGTCAATTAGAGGTTTAATAAAAACACTTTTTATAAACAAAAAAAAATTATAGTTTGATTGAAGTATGAATAAGTTCTAAATAATTCTCCTACACTTAGAACAATCAAACCTCCATAGTTCAAATAATGAAAAAGACTAATACGAATCAAAATGTCCTAAACCCAATCTTGAAGAAATTGATATTTTTAAAATAAAATCTGATACTTATAAAACTATTATAAGTCTTTTTTGTCTTATTTCTTTTAATTTACATGTTATATAAAAGTATTGTATACTATGAATCTTTTGATTATTTATTAAGTTCAACATATTAATTTTAAAATTTTTTAATCTTTATATTTTTTTCATCTTTAACTCTCTCAATAAAAATTAACTAGTTCTGTCTCAGGTCACATAAATATCCTTGTCAAAGATAAAACAAGCTAAATCTTACCGTCTTTCCAACTATACTATTTATGTCTTTGTTGATAAATTTGTTGGATGTATTGAGAGAATGGGGATTGGGGATTCAGTGTTAAACCTATTTATATCTTTTCCAACAAACAAACCCTTAAGTCAAGAGTCAAGAGGAAAACACAAAAGCACAAAACCTTAATGGGGTATTAGTATTAATTACCTCGAGGAGGGAAGGATTTTGTTAAATTTGCTAGTGAAATATGTATGTCTTGTTAATTTAGTGTGTATGTGGTCTCTTTCCCTCTCGTGCCTTTGTAGGAAACAACAATCATAAGTTGGTTGTGGTTGTGGCTGTGGATGTACTTTAAGACAACCAAAATATTGATTTGACGCAAATCCTATTCTCATTGGATGATGGATTTGTTATGACAAACAGCAACATTATCCTCCTCCCCTAACTATACCGCTACTACAATCACCCACGCTAATCATTATTATCCTACAGCCTACGTTCAATTCATTACCCTTTTAATTTAATAGATTTTAATACCCAAAAAAACCTAAAAAAGTGAATATATATATATATATATATGTATGAATGAAAGATAAAATAACATTGAAACATCTTTAGATAAAAAAAAATGAAGAAAGGAGAATATTCAATTTGGAAATCGCTCTTCAACTTAATCATAATTGGCCAATGCAACGCTCAGCATTTAAGTCCAAATTATTAAATTTAAGATCAAAAGAAAAATATCTAGGCTTACATTTAATGTCACGCTGCATAAAAGGTATGATAAATCTCATATCATCAGGGACGAATTTAGGATCGGGTAGTAAGGCACTTGCCCTTATTGACATCTTAACATCTCTTTGATTACATTACAAAAATACTTAAAAGCTTTCAGCTCTTATTGGGATTCATAAAATTTTAAAACATTTATATTATGTCATTGCAAATATTTAAAATATAATTATTATAAAAAAAGTCATTTACTTTTCAAATTAATAGTTTTTATAATATGAAAATAAAAATAAAATACAGATTTTATAATTAATTTGTTAATTGATATGAGATCCAATATAACTCCCAAAAATTACAAAACAACAAAAAATAAAATCTATTTATAAGGCATAAAATTATCTTTTATCTCACCCCTAATTTTTGTCCACCAAAAAAGCTATAAAGCACAACAAAAGAAAATGAAGAACCAGCAAAGAAAAATGACAGATATAAATAATTATATGAAAGAAATGCCAAGAAGCAAAGGGTGGTGCCACTTTTTTCTTTCAAAACTCGAAATATTCAAGTAATTACTTTCTTTAGATTTTGATAGCTAATGATTATGATAGCGTATTTATTTATAATTTGAAATTTTATATATTGATAAAATATTTTGGTGTACGTAGATAAATAAGAAATAAATATTTTTAAAAAATATTATTAATTTCAAAAGGAGATTCTTGAATGAATGACTGTTTAGTTATATATAAAGAATACATTTGTAATTTTGATAGTTAAAAATTTGTACAATATTATCAAACTTTAAAGTCATGTTTGTTATTTTACTAAGAATGTGATTACTGGGTATATAATTGTTGGAAAGATAATTTTATAACATTTGATATAATATTGAAAAGTGATGATTACAAGAAATATAATTATTGAGAAGATTACATTGTAAGGATTATATTATAATGTTTAGTTTAAAAGCATTCTACTAGCAATGTAATGTAAATTTATAAAATTATCTTTATGTATGAAATATAAGATTGAATAAACTTATCTTTTATTTAATGCAAATTTTTAACTTTTCAATTTTATCTTTTAAAATAATAAACAATAATATGATAAAAATAATATAATATTTTAATATTAATTATTATTAAATATTAAAATATGTGAATAACTAAATATGCTTTCTGATTCCACAGGATGGAAAGCACATATTCATGGTCCATAGTCAAAACCCAGTTCAAGTTTTCTTTTGATGTGTCTTCCGAAGCCTTACCAAAAGAGAGAAAAAGTAAAAAAGATAGCAAGGAATTAAAAGAGTACCGCAAACAAAGAACTAAAAAAGGAAACCCAATTTTTACTATCAGACCCTCTGGAGAAAATAGGGAAAAGGGAGAGAAAAAGATAGATGAAGGAGGTGGTATGGAGTCCACAGGACGAAATTTCACGATTTGAATGTGATTTATGAGGTTCAGATACTAGACCCATGTTTATTTGCCACTCTAAACTTATACATTTTTATCATTTGATGGGCAAAAAATTGATTTTGTGTACTGAATTTGTAATTTGTAGTATTTCAACAATAAAATACTACCGAAATGTGTAAGTGAGTAGCTAAGCTTTCGAGCAGCCGGAGGAAAAAGAAGAAAAGAAAAATAGAAGAAAGGGTCTACAACAGAGGTGAGAATAATTTGCAATGACATTCTCTCAACTCTTTTGCAATGATTTTATAGCAGGGAAGACTTTTCCATTTCTAAATTGCAAATCAAACGCTACAAAAACTTTACAATTATTTAAATTACAGGGAATGTAAGGAACTTACACTATACCAAACGTTTCTTAAAAGTTTGTAAAGAACATTTGTAATGTATTATTTTTACATAAAAACAAAGCAATTTTCGTTACACTTGAGTTTATTTGTATTTATAATTGCTATATACTTAATATAATATCATATAGGAGGAATTGAATCTATATGAATATGCCAAAATATTTAAGGCCTACACCATTTGTTTTGGTGTAAGATGTTACTTATAATAAGTGTCATAAAAATCACATTAAAGATATTTAATTTTTTTTATGAAATTAACATTTACAATTTAGAATAGCTAAAATTTATAATTAGGTACTTGATTCAATATAATGAGAATATGTATTAAATGATTTAAAGAGTGTGTTTTAAGTTTTTTTTTTAAAAAAAAATTTACTATATCAATAAATTTGTGTGATCATATGTTAATAAGACATTAGGTGTATGTTAGTAATAAAATCTTTAATGTAGACAAAAGATCGAAATCTCTAATTTATATATAGGAGTTAGTGTTATAGATCCTAAATCAGTAAAAAAATAAAAGAGATCTTGGTTTATAAATAATGGTTTTTCTTTTATAGGAACAAAACAAAAAACGATACAGTCTAATCATTATTGGAAAGCACACTCTTATAACATCGTTGTTTAATAGGTCCTAAGCTCCAATAAAAAGAGAACCAAAACTAATAAATCCCTCACCCAAAGAAAAAACCTTTATTAGCCATAAAATCTACCAA